TTAATGTAGTGGTTCTGGTGTTTATAGCATGCCATTCTGGAGCCAAGAACAAATATTTTCCTAGTTTGTTGCGAAATTGGATGCATTTCAGACACATTTTTTGGGATCAACAGCAAAAACAAATGTGAAAAAGGCTGAACAAACACTGGCCAAAGTTAGCTTTCATATTTGTTTTTTTGCATTTTTCACACACAAACAAATAGAAATGCTAACTTTGGCCAGTGGAAAAGAAGAGATATGTCGGGTGCTCACTCCAAAAATAAACAGTTAAATAGGCAGCAGTAACCAAAACAAGGATTCCCAGCGTTGATAAGAAACAGTATGGGAAAAAAAGGGAGGAAACCGCGCCTTATATGAATTATATATACATACACTTGATGTCTCTGAGAGAAAATATATACAATAGTGTAGTATGTTTAACAATATTAGAGAAAAGTGATAAATAAAACGGAGGTATTTTACACTCACATTTGGTAGAGCTGCTGTGGGAGCTCTACCGTTATAGGTGTGGACGGTACAATCCCCGTCTTAGGATAAGAGGTCCAACGTCTTAAGTACTCCAATGGTATGATGGTACAGATAAAAAGAAAACCAGGAAATTCCAATAGTGTAGTAATTCCAATTACAAGTATAAATAAATAAATATAAGTATTTATACTCACATTTACTCACATTTACAGAAAACTTGCTCTAGTATATAGGGCTTGCAGTGGTATAATCCCCACTGTAGGATATACAGGCCAGGAAGTTAGATGGTACAAATAAATATAATGAAAATAGAGTATAGCTTTAAAAATATATTTAATGGTAATACAAATAGAATAAAATAAAAAGCTATATAAAATATCACTTAACGCGTTTCGCCAATGGCTTCATCAGAAGTGTGAAAAAACATGCATCAAAAAACTTCCTTAAATATATGACTTACATATTAAACATAATTGGTAATGGCTTCCTGGTGTGCCCCAGTCAGAAGAACGCTCGTAGGCAAAAACCGGAAGTGGTGCGGCGTCCACGTGGGTATAGATAACCAGCGTGGAACGCACGCGTCCAAACCGGAAGCGGCGCGGCGTTCGCGTGTGTAACCCTATCCACCGCGAAACGCACGCGCCGGAAGTGACGTGGCACCCACGTGGGTGAAGTATAGGTATGCATTCCACTGTGGAACGCATAACAGCCGCGGCCACAATAAGTAGCTCGAGAGGGGGCAAATTCATAATATTAAAGTACAACATATGTATAAACAACAGAATAGTAATACAATAATAATATTAAAGTGCAACATGTGTAGAAACAACAGAACAGTCATTCATCATTGCAATAAAGAGATAAAGAGAATTCTTATATCAAACAAATTAAACATCTTGCATTACACAAAAGGTATCCATTAAAAACGTATATACACAGCAACAATAGAAAAATAAAAATAAATAAAAAATTTATAAAAAATTGATTAAAAATTAAAATAGAAAGTTCTTAAAATTCATTAGTCAAATAATTCTGACATCCAACGGTGCATAGAGAATGTTTCATCCATATATAAGAGTAGCAGAACGTCTTTTCTTATTTGGTCAAAAAAATTGAAATTTTGTACAGTTCATGACATCCTTTTTCTGGAGGCAGTCTTGAACGTCCAATAATCCATAGTTAATATGCTTGTAGTCCAGTTTATAAGAGGAGAATAGAATCAAATATATAACATGAAAATATGTACATAAAAAGTAGATATAAATACAATAAAAATAACAATGGTAAAATAATAGGAGAATAAGGTGAAAAAAAAAAAATATAGGATGATGCAAAAAATGAGATGGGGAAAGAAAAAACCCAGAGGAGGAGAAGAAAAAAAAAAAAATGAGATGAAATATAAATAAATTTATAAAAAGTTAAATAAGTCGAATTCTATATTTAGACCATCTGGGTGTAGGGTATTCATATTGTAAACCCATTCCATCTCTGTCCGTCCTATTTTTTTTAATAAAATCACCTCCTCTCCAGTGAGATTTAACAGTGGCAATACCAATGAAGGTGAGATATTTAGGGTCATTATCATGGATACAAAAGTGGGATGAAACAGAATGATTTTTAAAACCTTTTATTATGTTTCTAAAATGCTCAGCGATGCGAATTTTTAATGGTCTGATCGTTCGTCCTATGTACTGTAAGCCACAGGGGCATTCCAATAAATATATGACGTTTTTGCTGTTGCATGTGATTATTTCTTTTATATTATAGGGCTTACCATTATTATTTGATTTAAAATTAGGTCTTAATTTGGATGTGGATTTGGTTTTTCTACATGCAATACACGTGTTGCATTTGTAAAAACCCTTTCTGTCATTTAAAAAACTAGTCCCTATGATTTTTTCAGGTTTAGTATAATTTTTTGTAAGATGCATCCTTAGGTTAGGTGCACCCCTAAACACTATTTTTGGTCTTTCTGGTATTAAGTGTTTGAGAATGGTATCTTCTTTCAATAAATTCCAATGTCTGTTAATTATCTTTTTAAGTTCTTTGTTTTTATTATTGTAATCCAATATAACAGGTAATGATATATTTTGCTTTTGAGTTTTTTTCTTAGTTAATAGGTCTTTCTGATTAATAGATAGGGCTTGATTAAAGTCGATTGAATGGTAGTTTTATTATACCCTTTTTTTAAAAAACTTTCTTTTATTATTTCTGCTTGCTGCTTAAAAACTGGAGTTTCTGTACAATTTCTTCTTAATCTAAGCATTTGACTCTTTGGAATACTGTCTAGCCATACTTTGTTATGGCAGCTTTTAGTGTCAATATAATTATTGACATGAACCTCTTTAAAGTGAGTTTTAGTGTGAATTATATTATTTTTAATATATATGTTTAAATCTAGATATGTGATATGTGAATCACTAATTTCTGAGGTTAAAATTATGCCTTCTTGGTTAGTGTTTAAGAAGGAGATGAATTCTCTAGCTTCAATAGAAGTTCCTTTCCATATGAAGAGGAGATCATCAATGTATCTTGAATAGGACACCAGGTTTTTTGCCCAGCCATGCTCACTCCAGATATATCTGTCTTCCCATTCCGCCATATAGAGATTGGCATAGCTGGGCGCAAACCTGGTGCCCATAGTTGTGCCTGTTTTTTGTAAATAAAAACTATCTTTGAACCAGAAGTAATTATTATTGAGAATTCGATCTATCCCTTCAATTAAAAACTCTATTTGATCTTGTGGCATTGTTTTTTCTTTTTCTAAAATCGTTCTTACTGCTGTACATCCTTGATGATGTTTAATAATAGTATATAAGGACTGAACGTCGCAGGTAATGAGTAAAAAGTCTTTATTCCATTGAATGTTCTTGAGTTTATTTAATAAGTCAATAGAGTCCTTTAAGTAGGATTTGGTTCTTACAACATATGGTTGTAATAGGATATCTATATATTCGGACAAATTAGAGAATAAAGATCCTATCCCAGACACTATCGGTCTACCAGGGGGATTAGTTAAGCTTTTATGGATCTTGGGAAGGAAATAGATGACCGGAATACGAGGGTATTGTATATTGATATATGTGAATTCATTTTTATTGAGAATACCGGATCTCTTTCCTTCCTCTAGATACGCTTGTAACTTTAGTATCATCTCTGTTGTGGGGTTATTGCTAAGTTTTATGTATGTGTTAACATCATTTAGTTGTTTGTATGCTTCATTTTCATATTGGTCACTTGATAGTATGACCAAACCTCCTCCCTTGTCGGCAGGTTTAATAACGATAGATTCGTCGTTATAAAGATCCTTTAATATTTTTCTCTCATGTTTATTTAGATTGGGTCTCTCAATATATCTGTTTTTGATCTCTAACCTTTTTAGGTCTTTGCAGACTTTCTGTTCAAATATGTCTAATGCACTAGATTTTAAATGAGCTGGGTAGAAGGTAGATTTTTTCTTTAGGTTACTCCTTATATAATCACTATTCGCATCTGTGTTTACAGTAGTTTGAATAGTAGTTTGTGCATTTTGTGTGTCTAGTGATCTGGAAGTGAAGAATCTTTTTAAGGTGGCATTTCTGACAAATTTATTAACATCTATGTAAGTTAAAAAGGAATTATATGTCCTAGTGGGGGCAAATTTTAAGCCTTTTTTAAGAATAGTCATCTGTGATTCGTCTAGATTTTTATTAGAAAGATTAAATATGCCTGTGGGAGAGGTGTCATTTTTGGTTTTTAAAATCTTCCTTTTTTGTTCTCTTCTTCCTGCTCTTCTACCTCTAGAATTCTTTTTCGGCTCTTTATAGGTGTTAAATTTAGGCAGTTGGTATTCCTTTCTCGATTGGACGGGATCTCTAAAAAAGAGGTCTCGTCCAATTGTTCACAAAAAGACAGAGCGTGGTATTTATTTTTGGTGGTGATTTCATTTGGTGAATTGTGTTTTTGAGTATCATATTTGCTGAATCTGTTGTGATTTACCTTTTCCCAAGGATGGTCTCTATCTTTGGGCTTGTGTGTTGGGGAACTAGGTATGTATGTGTATTTGTGAGTTTTTGGTCTTACTATCATTGGTGATTCATTTGGAACTTTTTCTTTTCTTTGATTTCTCATATTTTGCATTCTGTGAGTAGGTTCTTTAGTGTTAAATTCAGGAAATTTATGGTAACTCTGTTTCGGTCTACCTTGAAACTCTTCATTAGTGTTACTATAGATTTTTGTTCTATTAGTAGTGGTGAATCTGTCAGTGAATTTCCGTGGTGTTCTGTTCCAATAATTTTTTCTGTGTGTTTGTTCAAATCTTTCATTTTCATCTCTACTTTGTAAACGTTTAAGTCTAAAAGTATTATTTCCTATATGAGGATTAGATAAGTGATTAGTGTTTTTCCATCTTTGTTGTCTTGGTGCTTTTTTTGTGTTGTAAGTACGTATTTGATTATTAGCATAATCGTGCTTGTCTCTGTTGTATTTACTTTTTTTAATTCTTTTGATGTCAGTTTCTATTTTTTCTACTTTTTTTTTATATTTTGTGTTTGATTAAAATATTCTTCTGTGTCAGCAAACGGGATTAATTGGTCTCTTAGACTATTGATTTTTTTGTCTAATAGTCTAAGAGACCAATTAATCCCGTTTGCTGACACAGAAGAATATTTTAATCAAACACAAAATATAAAAAAAAAGTAGAAAAAATAGAAACTGACATCAAAAGAATTAAAAAAAGTAAATACAACAGAGACAAGCACGATTATGCTAATAATCAAATACGTACTTACAACACAAAAAAAGCACCAAGACAACAAAGATGGAAAAACACTAATCACTTATCTAATCCTCATATAGGAAATAATACTTTTAGACTTAAACGTTTACAAAGTAGAGATGAAAATGAAAGATTTGAACAAACACACAGAAAAAATTATTGGAACAGAACACCACGGAAATTCACTGACAGATTCACCACTACTAATAGAACAAAAATCTATAGTAACACTAATGAAGAGTTTCAAGGTAGACCGAAACAGAGTTACCATAAATTTCCTGAATTTAACACTAAAGAACCTACTCACAGAATGCAAAATATGAGAAATCAAAGAAAAGAAAAAGTTCCAAATGAATCACCAATGATAGTAAGACCAAAAACTCACAAATACACATACATACCTAGTTCCCCAACACACAAGCCCAAAGATAGAGACCATCCTTGGGAAAAGGTAAATCACAACAGATTCAGCAAATATGATACTCAAAAACACAATTCACCAAATGAAATCACCACCAAAAATAAATACCACGCTCTGTCTTTTTGTGAACAATTGGACGAGACCTCTTTTTTAGAGATCCCGTCCAATCGAGAAAGGAATACCAACTGCCTAAATTTAACACCTATAAAGAGCCGAAAAAGAATTCTAGAGGTAGAAGAGCAGGAAGAAGAGAACAAAAAAGGAAGATTTTAAAAACCAAAAATGACACCTCTCCCACAGGCATATTTAATCTTTCTAATAAAAATCTAGACGAATCACAGATGACTATTCTTAAAAAAGGCTTAAAATTTGCCCCCACTAGGACATATAATTCCTTTTTAACTTACATAGATGTTAATAAATTTGTCAGAAATGCCACCTTAAAAAGATTCTTCACTTCCAGATCACTAGACACACAAAATGCACAAACTACTATTCAAACTACTGTAAACACAGATGCGAATAGTGATTATATAAGGAGTAACCTAAAGAAAAAATCTACCTTCTACCCAGCTCATTTAAAATCTAGTGCATTAGACATATTTGAACAGAAAGTCTGCAAAGACCTAAAAAGGTTAGAGATCAAAAACAGATATATTGAGAGACCCAATCTAAATAAACATGAGAGAAAAATATTAAAGGATCTTTATAACGACGAATCTATCGTTATTAAACCTGCCGACAAGGGAGGAGGTTTGGTCATACTATCAAGTGACCAATATGAAAATGAAGCATACAAACAACTAAATGATGTTAACACATACATAAAACTTAGCAATAACCCCACAACAGAGATGATACTAAAGTTACAAGCGTATCTAGAGGAAGGAAAGAGATCCGGTATTCTCAATAAAAATGAATTCACATATATCAATATACAATACCCTCGTATTCCGGTCATCTATTTCCTTCCCAAGATCCATAAAAGCTTAACTAATCCCCCTGGTAGACCGATAGTGTCTGGGATAGGATCTTTATTCTCTAATTTGTCCGAATATATAGATATCCTATTACAACCATATGTTGTAAGAACCAAATCCTACTTAAAGGACTCTATTGACTTATTAAATAAACTCAAGAACATTCAATGGAATAAAGACTTTTTACTCATTACCTGCGACGTTCAGTCCTTATATACTATTATTAAACATCATCAAGGATGTACAGCAGTAAGAACGATTTTAGAAAAAGAAAAAACAATGCCACAAGATCAAATAGAGTTTTTAATTGAAGGGATAGATCGAATTCTCAATAATAATTACTTCTGGTTCAAAGATAGTTTTTATTTACAAAAAACAGGCACAACTATGGGCACCAGGTTTGCGCCCAGCTATGCCAATCTCTATATGGCGGAATGGGAAGACAGATATATCTGGAGTGAGCATGGCTGGGCAAAAAACCTGGTGTCCTATTCAAGATACATTGATGATCTCCTCTTCATATGGAAAGGAACTTCTATTGAAGCTAGAGAATTCATCTCCTTCTTAAACACTAACCAAGAAGGCATAATTTTAACCTCAGAAATTAGTGATTCACATATCACATATCTAGATTTAAACATATATATTAAAAATAATATAATTCACACTAAAACTCACTTTAAAGAGGTTCATGTCAATAATTATATTGACACTAAAAGCTGCCATAACAAAGTATGGCTAGACAGTATTCCAAAGAGTCAAATGCTTAGATTAAGAAGAAATTGTACAGAAACTCCAGTTTTTAAGCAGCAAGCAGAAATAATAAAAGAAAGTTTTTTAAAAAAAGGGTATAATAAAACTACCATTCAATCGACTTTAATCAAGCCCTATCTATTAATCAGAAAGACCTATTAACTAAGAAAAAAACTCAAAAGCAAAATATATCATTACCTGTTATATTGGATTACAATAATAAAAACAAAGAACTTAAAAAGATAATTAACAGACATTGGAATTTATTGAAAGAAGATACCATTCTCAAACACTTAATACCAGAAAGACCAAAAATAGTGTTTAGGGGTGCACCTAACCTAAGGATGCATCTTACAAAAAATTATACTAAACCTGAAAAAATCATAGGGACTAGTTTTTTAAATGACAGAAAGGGTTTTTACAAATGCAACACGTGTATTGCATGTAGAAAAACCAAATCCACATCCAAATTAAGACCTAATTTTAAATCAAATAATAATGGTAAGCCCTATAATATAAAAGAAATAATCACATGCAACAGCAAAAACGTCATATATTTATTGGAATGCCCCTGTGGCTTACAGTACATAGGACGAACGATCAGACCATTAAAAATTCGCATCGCTGAGCATTTTAGAAACATAATAAAAGGTTTTAAAAATCATTCTGTTTCATCCCACTTTTGTATCCATGATAATGACCCTAAATATCTCACCTTCATTGGTATTGCCACTGTTAAATCTCACTGGAGAGGAGGTGATTTTATTAAAAAAAATAGGACGGACAGAGATGGAATGGGTTTACAATATGAATACCCTACACCCAGATGGTCTAAATATAGAATTCGACTTATTTAACTTTTTATAAATTTATTTATATTTCATCTCATTTTTTTTTTTTTCTTCTCCTCCTCTGGGTTTTTTCTTTCCCCATCTCATTTTTTGCATCATCCTATATTTTTTTTTTTTCACCTTATTCTCCTATTATTTTACCATTGTTATTTTTATTGTATTTATATCTACTTTTTATGTACATATTTTCATGTTATATATTTGATTCTATTCTCCTCTTATAAACTGGACTACAAGCATATTAACTATGGATTATTGGACGTTCAAGACTGCCTCCAGAAAAAGGATGTCATGAACTGTACAAAATTTCAATTTTTTTGACCAAATAAGAAAAGACGTTCTGCTACTCTTATATATGGATGAAACATTCTCTATGCACTGTTGGATGTCAGAATTATTTGACTAATGAATTTTAAGAACTTTCTATTTTAATTTTTAATCAATTTTTTATAAATTTTTTATTTATTTTTATTTTTCTATTGTTGCTGTGTATATACGTTTTTAATGGATACCTTTTGTGTAATGCAAGATGCTTGATTTGTTTGATATAAGAATTCTCTTTATTATCTCTTTATTGCAATGATGAATGACTGTTCTGTTGTTTCTACACATGTTGCACTTTAATATTATTATTGTATTACTATTCTGTTGTTTATACATATGTTGTACTTTAATATTATGAATTTGCCCCCTCTCGAGCTACTTATTGTGGCCGCGGCTGTTATGCGTTCCACAGTGGAACGCATACCTATACTTCACCCACGTGGGCGCCGCGTCACTTCCGGCGCGACGCGTGCGTTTCGTGGTGGATAGGGTTACACACGCGAACGCCGCGCCGCTTCGGACGTGTGCGTTCCACGCTGGTTATCTATACCCACGTGGACGCTGCACCACTTCCGGTTTTTGCCTACGAGCATTCTTCTGACTGGGGCACACCAGGAAGCCATTACCAATTATGTTTAATATGTAAGTCATATTTAAGGAAGTTTTTTGATGCATGTTTTTTCACACTTCTGATGAAGCCATTGGCGAAACGCGTTAAGTGATATTTTATATAGCTTTTTATTTTATTCTATTTGTATTACCATTAAATATATTTTTAAAGCTATACTCTATTTTCATTATATTTATTTGTACCATCTAACTTCCTGGCCTGTATATCCTACAGTGGGGATTATACCACTGCAAGCCCTATATACTAGAGCAAGTTTTCTGCTCTAGTAAATGTGAGTATAAATACTTATATTTATTTATTTATACTTGTAATTGGAATTACTACACTATTGGAATTTCCTGGTTTTCTTTTTATCTGTACCATCATACCATTGGAGTACTTAAGACGTTGGACCTCTTATCCTAAGACGGGGATTGTACCGTCCACACCTATCACGGTAGAGCTCCCACAGCAGCTCTACCAAATGTGAGTGTAAAATACCTCCGTTTTATTTATCACTTTTCTCTAATATTGTTAAACATACTACACTATTGTATATATTTTCTCTGTTTTCTTTTTGAGGACAAATTATCTGCAACTACTAAGAGACATCAAGTGTATGTATATATAATTCATATAAGGCGTGGTTTCCTCCCTTTTTTCCTAACTTTGGCCAGTGTTTGTGACTGAGTGGCTACTAAAACAGAATGGACCCCATATTGAATACCCTTAGTTGTCTACTTTTGCAACTGCAATGCCATGCCATGATGGGGTAATTCGCATTCCTGGGCTACTATATATTGTAATTGGAATTACTACACTATTGGAATTTCCTGGTTTTCTTTTTATCTGTACCATCATACCATTGGAGTACTTAAGACGTTGGACCTCTTATGCTAAGACGGGGATTGTACCGTCCACACCTATCACGGTAGAGCTCCCACAGCAGCTCTACCAA